GAACTTATTATTTATTGGTAATGATTAAACAGAATTTATAGCTGTTATTCACAATGATTTAAGAGTTTCTTTTTTTAAAAAAAAAGATTTTTTTCTTCTTCAACAGAAATTTAAGAACTTAATATTTTGATCGATATTTTTAATCAATAATCAATTTTTAATCAATAATCAATGTTTCTCATTAATCGATTTTTACTTTACCGTACATTTTGATATTTCTTCAAAATATTGCAATTCCTATCTGAGGAAAACGAATATCAAAACCTATAATTTATCAAACAAAATTTATTTATTTTCTTAAAATGATAATCAAAATGGGATTAGTTATTTGATTTTTTAGAACATTAAACATTTAATATTGTTAATATAAAATATTTGTATGAATTGATCGATTAATTGTATTAAAAGGAAACTAAATTACTAATGACAACAAGGAAAAAATAAAAAAAAATGAAAAAATTCAAAAAAATAAAAAAAAAGTGGAAAAGCAACCGGATTTAATGGAATCAATTGAATTTAATTTTCTTGCTTTCACTTTTTTTTTCGATTTCTCCTTTGAATTTTTCAATGACAATAAAGGGAATTGAATTAGAAATGCTATTTAACATATAAACTAGCAATTGAAAAAAGAAGTGAGAAATAAATGGGATTTAATGAAATCATTTGGATTCAATCCTCGCTTCCATCTTTTTTGATTTCGATTTCTTCGATCTCTTCATTAACAACAAGTCCGTAATTGATATCCGATTTCGATTTCTTCATTAACAACAAGTCCGTAATTGATATCCGTAATTGTTGATTGCTGAATTTCAATGTTGCATTATTAGCATAATCTCTTCAATAACAGACATTAAATTTTAATTGAAATCTATGAATTTTAAAATCTTGAAATGTCTTGAAAAGTTCAATTCAGATAATTGAGTGAAAATTTAAATGAAGGAGGGAATTCGAAAATTCCATTCCTGAAGCGCATCGTATGCCAAAAGTTAAAAAAAAAAAATGAAGCGAAAAATTCAAAAGAATGTTCAAAATTCGAATGGGAAGTCATGAAATGCTATCCGGAAATATTGAAATGATCCTTTAAATATTGCTGTCACCGTTCAATTTCTTCATAAATTTCATCATTATTAATAAATTCAACTTATTAGCATTATTAATTTATGCAAATTTCAACACCTGTTCTGGTTTTAACTAAATGAACTAAATTTTAAGATATCGATTGTAACTAAACGAACTGAAGATATTGAGATTATAACTAAACAAATTAAATTAAAGCATTCTGGTTCTAGCCAGGTGAACTAAATTAGGGAATTGTGGATGTAGCTAAACGAACTAAATGAAGAAATTCCGGTTATAGGTGAATAAAGTAAATTAAGATGTTCCGGTTATAACTAAACAAATTAAATTAAAACATTTTGGCTGTATGTAAATAAAACTAAAAGTTAATTACGAAAAATTCTTAATATTTTATACAAAATTAAATGTTTTATGTACATTTCAAAAGAAAATATGCACTGATTTTTCAAAATTTTGCAAAAATTCCGAAATGACTGCTCTTTTTTTTTATTTTTAAAATAATAAATCCGAAAATTATTCGCCTACCGCTGTAGGATTTCCTTTTTTTTTTTTTTTTTTTTCAATCCCGAAAGATTACAACTTTTCGTTCTTTTTTTTTTTTTTTTGCAACCCTTATTGATGAACTCAAAGAATTCCAAATTTTCAAAAATTTCTTTGATTAGCTTGACAAAATTGCATTGTTGAAATTTAATTCTTTAAAATATCTCATTAATTAGCATTTTAAATGTATTAAATAGAAGAGTTTTTGTGCCGATTACGACTTTATTTTTTTTTTTTTTTTTTGTTTTTTCCTTTTCAACAAATTATTGGATTTTATATGCCATATATTAATAGTTGCTCGGAAACTTTAAGTATTTAAATTATCCTTTTAATAACTTATTAATTAACATTTAAACATCTTAAATAGAAGAGTATTCCTTCATAAGTTTTTTTTTAGTTTTCAATTAAATTAATTGTTAAATTTTGTCAAACAAAAGCTTCCATTTAATCTTTGCACTTTTTTTTTTTTTGAAAAGTAAATTTGATGCAATTAAATGAAACATGCGCTTACTGTTTGTACTTTTATTTTTGTGGTAAAGGATAATAAGTTATCGTATTTTATTGTTTTGGTTTATTTATGTATTTATTTTTTAAATTGTTCTTCCTTAAAACACATTATAATTAATTCCATATTATTCGACACAGTTATAAAGATTTTTAACATCATCATCATCATTA